TCTAAACTGGGATTTTTTAAAAAAGATTTTATCTTCTGATTTAGAGAGAGTATGCAGGAAGGAGGAGGAACAGAGGGAGAGAGAGAGAGGAGAGAATCTCAAGCTGACTATGCCCTGATCAGGAGCCCATTGCAGAGCTTGATCCCAGGTCCCTGAGATCATGACCTAAGCCAAAATCAAGAGTTGGACACTTAATCAACTGAGCCACCCAGATATCCCCCAAAAAGGGATTTTTAATTTTGGTTTTAATTGTTGCCTTGTCCTGAAAAATGGTGGCCTATAACCTGAAGCCCTTCTCAGTTTGGTAACTTTCCACTGGTTAACTGATTAAAGTCATCCAAGTTTTGGAAAGTGAAGAAATGAAGGAATGAGTGAGTAAATGGCAAAGCAGCTAGATTCACTTACATCATTGCTGTTCCATGCTATATCATTTATGATGAGCCTTATAAGAGCTAAGGTTTCGTCTCTTTTCCGCTGGGTTTTTTTTTTCATAGTTTCCAGGCATTGTCACCAATTTTGATTCTTTGATAGCTAAAGTTCTAATTCCCCTTTTTAAATGTTCATTTTCATTAAAGAGCTACTTAACATTAGATATTAACTTTGACAGATGTTAATGTTGCTTTTCAATTAGGTAAAATATATTCTTGGTGAGGTGCCAATTTGAATTGAATATATTTGAATTTGGTATGTGAATTAAACTGTTGTTTAAACCTTACCCATCCATCACATGAGTGAGGGAGCAGCTGGCTGCTTTTGTATGTAAGTAGGTCCCCCCAGTCATATTTATTTATTTATTTATATTATTTTTTAGAAGGGGGAGGGGCAAAAGGAGAGGGAGGGAGAGAATCCCTAGCAGACTCCCCAGTGAGTACAAAGCCCCACACAGGAGGGCTTGATCCTGCGGCCCTGAGATCACGAAGCTCCTGAACTGAGCCGAAATGAAGACTCAGACACGGGATCCCTGGGTGGCGCAGCGGTTTGGCGCCTGCCTTTGGCCCAGGGCGCGATCCTGGAGACCCGGGATCGAATCCCACGTCGGGCTCCCGGTGCATGGAGCCTGCTTCTCCCTCTGCCTATGTCTCTGCCTCTCTCTCTCTCTCTCTCTCTCTGTGACTATCATAAATAAAAAAAATATTAAAAAAAAAGACTCAGACACTCAGCTGATTGAGCCACCCAGGCGCCCCCCCCTTCAGCAATATTTAAACATTATAACATGGTTTCCTATTGTAGGAAAGAGAACGTCATATAAATTTAATACAAGATCTCCTTGTTTGTCAGTTTCTTAGGCTGCCTAGAATTTAAATTCCCAGATACCACGCTGGTATAAAATGTTTTCCACGGATATTATTAATATTTTAAAATCCTTTCTGCTCCTGTAGATTTTCCTTAGACAGGAAGTCTAGCTCTCTTTACCCTTTGGCTACTAATGAATGCTATTAAGTTATTATCCATCTTCTTTAGGCAGAGGCACTACAGGTATGAGATCAGAATTGCCAAGTAAGGCAAGCATTTACTTTTAAAATTAAAAAAAAAAAAGACAAATCCATTCAAAGGTGACAACAAAAGTGTGATCCTAGAAGGTCTTTTGGGCTTGAGTCAAAGAATAGAGAATTGGTGTTGTATCCCCACCTGTGTCACTAACTTGCTGGGTCATCTTGACCAAGTCACTTCCCAACTCTGGATAGCATAGCCCCTCCAAAGTTTCAGCTTCCACATTGCAGATTCTATATGCTAAAGAGAGCAGGTCCAAGGGAGGCTGAATCCTCTTGTTTTTTATCAGCTATGCATACCAACCTAACAGCTCTGGAGGTCAGTCTCTAGCTGCATTTTTTGTCTATTTTATAATCCCTGAAATACTTGCTAGGCTTTCCTTGCTAGTTATTTCCCCCTAGGAATTTGCATTTAGAAATACTGAGGGCTTCTTACCTTTTGGAATTTTTCTATGCTCATGAATTTAATGAAAAGTTAGAGTTACCAAAAAATGCCCGAATTAAAAATCTTGTTCGAATGACTTTCTGTAAAATCAGACTGTTTCCATCATGACTAATGTACCTTCACTATTTCAGTTTTGAAGTTAATACATTTGAGTCCTGGTATGGCGAGGCATGATTGTCAGTTTCTCCTATTAACCATGTTAATATTCTCCCACTTATTCATTGTTCTAACCTTTTTTTTTTAAAGCCCAGAATGATTGAACAACAAGGCTCTGTATCATGAGAGTTACATTTTAGGTACTTGAAAATTTCATTGATTTGAAATAGTGTGAATTGCACTAAGCTAAAATTTACCTTTCCTTGGTTTGCTAGGGAAAAAAGTAAACAAAATACCTTGCCTCCAAACATTGAGAAATTAACTGTCTGGCAACTTCAGGATGTGTATTGTTTTAATGTAAAAGTGAGAGAGAGGTTTTTATAAATCTCCTCATTAAAGGAAGTTTAGCACTATAATTTAAAAGGCAGACAATATCAAGGGTTGGAAAAAATATCAAGGGTTGGTAAGGATGTGGAAAAATTGGAACTCCCTCACACATTGCTGGTGGCAATGTACAATGGTACAGCCACTGTGGGAAATAGTTTATCAGTTCCTTAAAAAGTTAAACATAGAATTACCAAATGACCCAGCAATTCAGCTTTTAGGTATCTACCCAAGAGAAACGAATACATATGTCCACACAGAAACTCATACATGCATGAATATAGCTGCATTATTTATAGTAGTCCCAAAGTGGAAACAACTCAAATGTTTCTCAACAGATCAACAGATCACAAAATGTGATAGAGCCACACCATTGAAATATTAGGCAGTTGAAAAGATAAAGTATTGATACATGCTACAGCATGGATGAAACCTCCAAAACATTATGCTCAAAGTCAGTGTATCCATATTTGTAGGACTACACTTCTATGAAATACCAGAATAGGCAAATCCATAGACCGAGAGTAATGCTTGCGAGGAGCTGGAAGGAGGGAAAAATGGAGACTGGCTGTTAATGGGTATGGGGCTTCTTTTTGGTGTGACAAAATGTTTTAAAATTAGAATGATGGTGATGGTTGTATAACTCTGTGAATATGCTAAAAAACATTAAATTGTATATGTTAATGGGTGAATTTTATTGGTGTGTGAATTACATCTCCATAAGCTATTATATATCAAAAACATTAGTGACTATATTATCCTAATTACTTGAAATTGGAAAAGTGTGTGCAAATTACATTTTTGCCAGAGGCTGGAAGGAAGGAGGAGCGGGCGTTAGTATTGGATGGATACTATGTTTCAGTTGTGCAATATGCTAAGAGTTCTGGAGATGGATGGTGGTGAGCCATCAATGAACTTAATTACACAGAACTGTACCCTTAAAAATAGTTATTTTACCACAATAAAAATCTATAATCCAAAAAAATTACATTTTATGTTATTCCAATGTATATAAGGCTTTTCCCCCCTCTCTCTTTTTTTCTTTTTAGCAAGAAGACTGAAAGTGTGATTGGCCTTTTGGTTTTTGTGGATGGGATTCTTCTGTTTTAGAATTTCTGTTCAATATGTGTGTTTGTTAGGAAAGGGAGTGTTGGTTATACACACACATATATGTCTTTATCTTGGCTTTGAATGAGAATTTGAAAATGCTTTTTAAAACTTTATTTGCCAATAGGAAAATAAAAGAGGCCAAACTGTAGGAAAATTTATGTTGTTAAATCATAAAATGGGCAAATGCTGTTCTCAGAGTATGAATTGTCACAGATGTCCTGATTTTCTTGATTAATCTTGGCTCCTGGAATGGGAAAAAATTATACTTTTATATATAAAACATATCTTTCTATAAGCATTTTCCTTTGTAGAGTAGAATAGAATGAGCACCAAAGTGCATTGAAAGTACTCACATAGGTGTTCTATTTGTACAATACAATAGGTGAGTTTTAGAATGCAAAGGAAGGGATGGAAAAATGAAAAAAAGAAAAAAGAAAATCAGCAATGAGGGAGTCACTGAAAAAGGAATTGTTTGTAACTTCTAAGGATTAATCTGTGAAAACATTTTCTAAGCCTGGCTGCTGTATAGGACATTTAAATTTGAAGATTGATGGTGCAAATGCCAGTAGTGCCATTAATATAAAGTGTAATCAGAGGTATGTTTGTTTTTCTTGACCAGGAAGTGTTTTCTTTTAAAAGTACAAGAAACGTACTGTGCCTGTGTGAGTGTGTGTGTCTATGTATTTTCTGTCTGTTCTTCCATTGCAGGAAGAATTATGGTCTTCCAACATCTTTGTCCTTTATAGTAGGGGTTTTTCTAGAATTTGGCACTGTAGTATATTTCCCTTGATTACAGGATCCAATCAGAGTTGTACTCAGAAATCCATTGATGTGATTAATGGTCTCCTAATCATACTTTTATTTCCTAGATTAGCCTAATTTCCTGTACTTTCGCAATTTTTGAGTCATATATTGAATTATCTTTTATGGGGGGCCTGAAATATTTGTATTTTTAGTCTGTAATTTGCATGATTATTTAAATTTTCTTTGATTTCTTTTGCTTGAAGAAAATGAAATTTTGGTCTTTTTTGAACTCTGAGTGCTGTTCTATGGTAAAAGGCCAACCTGGTATGAACTTTTTTTTAAAACTATATACATTTTTTTCCATCGGCCCTAGGTCTAGAAGTCTTTGCATAAATGTCCACTAGCCTAGGTTTTATTCTTCTCAAAAGTAAAGTATTCTCAGATTCTCCAAGTAACAGGGAAGTAGACCAGGAAATGACTGTATAGGAAGTGTAATTGATCATTCGTGCTTTACATTTGATCACAGGATTGGCTAATAAACAGTCTATTGAAAAAAATAAATTGACTTCTAAAATCTCTGGGGCCCTTGAATACATTTGCAGATTATTAGCACCTTTGTCACCTACTGATTTTTTTAAAATCTCCTACCTTTTTCAAATGATTGTCTGCATTTGAAAGGGGAACTTTTTCATACCTAGTAGTTGCTTTAATATTTGCTTTGTTTTCCACAGTGCCCTTAAAGATAGCCGTTTCCCCCCAATGACAAGGGATGAGCTGCCACGGCTGTTCTGCTCAGTGTCTCTTCTCACTAACTTTGAAGATGTCTGTGATTATTTGGACTGGGAGGTAAGAGTATAGACATTTTTGAAAGAGAAATGAAGGTAACTCCTGTGTAAATGTTAAAAATTAGATCCAGGAAGCAACTCTTTCAGCCCATTCTCTATTGTAGTGCAGGTGAGGAGAGTAAGGTGGAGAAATAAACCTCACAGCTGATCAATGAGATATCAGTGAAGGAGGTTTTTTCCGTTTTTGTTTTCTTTTTGTTTTTGTTTTTAAGGCAAAGTGCCATGTGTCATTTTTGTCCTTAAACTGAATTTGCTGTTTATTTTTATCTTATTACTTTAGCACAGCCCCTCATAAAAGCTGTTAATAAGTAGTAAGAAGGACTGATCGGAATTTATTCCTTCTATTTCCATTCTGATGTATTTCAGTGTAACTGCCACCCAGCAATTGGGTGGTGTGAGGACACATCTCAGAAGCAAGGAGCCAAAAAGTTAGGATAATACACCAGTAGGGGAAATCAGACTGTGGATACAGATCAGAGTGTTTGTTAACTACAGTTAAATCTTGTTTATTCATTCTTGGCTACCTTATTTTGTGCACTTAACCATGCTAACAAATAATATTAAGGTTATATCATGATTATCTCTGAACATTGTCATGATTGAAGTAGCCTAGATTTGTCATATTTTTTATTCATTAGTATGTGGGGTTGGGTTTTTAAGGAAGTTCAAAGGTTCTCACCATGATTTTGTTTTGGTCATTGTGAGGAGATAGCTGAGCGTGTGTTTATGAAATTTCACACATAATAGTGCATATGTCACTGAATACCTACTGTATTTGAGGCACTGTGCCACATATACAAAAGTCCTAAGATTTGCTCTCCACCATGAATCATCCTTCAGTCCTAAGATTTGCTCTCCACCATGAATCATCCTTCAGTCTAATAGCAGAGAAAAGAAGTATACACAAAGCATAAAGAAAAAAGTACAAGAATGAAACAATGGGGATTCAGTGATGCACTTAGCATCTCTCACATAAACACTCATAAGTAACATGACTGGATCTTTATGGTATAACATGTTTTAATTCTATTGACTTTTTAGAATGACTACCTCCCATGTAACTGAGATATTTTGCCTTGTGGACAGACTACCATCTTGATGATTAATTGGACTTGAATTTTATTTTTGAAGTTACTCAGATTCCTTGTGAGACTTTGGACAACTTATTCCGCTGCCAGTTAGCTTTCCACATACAGAATAAGACATTTATAAAGTTCTTAACCTTCAGTGGAAAAAAAATCCCTACAATATAAATTACTGTTGTTAGGCCAGAGCTTTATATATATTTTTTTTAATTTTTATTTATTTATGATAGTCACAGAGAGAGAGAGAGAGAGAGAGAGAGGCAGAAACATAGGCAGAGGGAGAAGCAGGCTCCATGCACCGGGAGCCCGACGTGGGATTCGATCCTGGGTCTCCAGGATCGCGCCTGGGCCAAAGGCAGGCGCCAAACCGCTGCGCCACCCAGGGATCCCTAGGCCAGAGCTTTAAAAAACATTCTACAGAGAGTAGGATAAAAGATTTCCTCCTGAGTTTTGTAGTATGTCAGGGTTTTTTGGAGTATTCTCAGAATACAAAGGCATTCGGGGTTTTTTTTTAAGGGGAAAAATAAAATTAATTAAGTGTTGATCCTACTGAAGTTGGGTTGTGTAAAAACCTTCACAGAATTAAAATTTCCTGACTGTTTTCTATAAGTTCATTGTTCACCTATTTGAATTTTTCTTAAAGTGAAGTCTATCAGTATCATAGAAACATTCCTCAGTACTTTAGTTTTAAATGATCCCAAATTATATCCCTTATTAACAAGTATTCAAATTTGAGTGGTTCTTTTTACGTTTTGAGGCTTCTTCTCTAGCTAGAATTTTATTTCTGTTTTCTGTATTTCAGGGTGCCATGTGTGTGATGGGGGTAGAGTGGGGGGGCCATAACAGGTGGAAAGGCCTGAAATCTAGGGATGACCAAGCTACAAAAACATGCCTACTCTAACTTGCCACCACTGAGTTGGAAGTACAGTTGTGGTGTGTGCGGGCTTGCACATGTGTAGCTGCATGCATGTGTGGCATGTACATGAAAGTATATTTAAAAAATATGTATGCATGTATTTGGAGGGAAAGAAAAATGGGAGAATCCAATATTAGTTAAATAAATATGAGCAAGCACAGAGTACACCATCATCTACCCCACTTCAGGCACTGTCTACAGCTAAAATTAAACCTCATGCCTTGTATATTATATATTTAATACATTCCCAAGGCTTAAATATTGATGTCTATTTAATGATGCTTTCTGGCTAAAGTAACAACAAAAAAATACATGTATTTTTGTACTTTTAACATAGAAGTATTTGAAAATGAATTAGACACTGCCAGAATGGCTATGCTAAGAGGGAAAGACTGTCCTTTTCAGTTAGTTCTTCATAGTTGGAAGTATCTGGCATAAGAAAAATTTGTTCCCAAAGAGTAAGAGTGAAAATTGGATTTTTTAAGTACAAAGAATATGATTTGGGCTTTAAAAAGATATACCATAGTTAATGATTACAAACGGAATGGTATTATTGTGGGGATGATGTCATAAGGGTCATCCTTAATATTTCTGAAAAAGCATTGGTTACTTGAAACACAGAGTGCCAAAGTAGAATTAAAAGCATTTTTAAAAAAGTGTATGTCAAGGAATTTCCACTCCTAGGTATAGACCCCAAAGAAATGAAATCAGATGTTGAAACCAAAATTTGTACACAAATGTTTATAGCAGCACTATTCATAATAGTCAAAAGATAGAAATTACCCAAATGCCTATCAACAGATAAATGGAGAAAACCAAATTTGGGATATCCATACAATGGAATATTGTGCAACCATGAAAAGAAATGAAGTGGTGACACATGGATGAGCCTTGAAAACATTATACTAAGTGAAAGAAGCCAGGCACAAAAGGCCATATATTGTATGATTCTGTTTATGTGAAAATATGGCGAATGAGCACATCCACAGAGATAGTGTATTCGTGGTGGCCAGGGGCCTGAGGGAGGGACTGAATGAGAAGTGACTGCTTTTAATGGGTACAGGATTTCCACTCGAGGTGATGAAAATGTTATGGAACTGGATGTTGTACAACACTGCAAATGTACTTGATGCCACTCAATTGTATACTTTAAAATGGTTAAAATGGTAAATTTTATATGCGTATTTTACCACAATAAAAGGCATATATGCATATATATATATATATTTAAACCTATTGTCTATAATAGTATAGTGCTAATTTGTTGAAGAAGAAAACTTTGAAAATTCAAAAAATATTTCAAAAGGCAAGCCATTTGTAATTACACCGTTCTGAGATAACTACTGTTAATGTTTTGGGAATATTCTTTAAAGTATTTTTCTGTGTCTTTGTATCAATGAATATATATATTTGTTCATGTAACTGAGATAATATTGAATATACAGTCATTATTAAAAAGGATTGTGGGAAAGTCTTTGCTTATGGTTTATCTTTCTAAGTTAATGATTCATGTTGCAAATTTCCTTTACAAGGGGGTCCATCTATATTATGAAAGGATACATTTCACTTTGAGAAATTTCAGATTGTCAAAATAGGTAAAACTTTTCTTCCAATAATGAAATATCCTATTCACCATAAGTATCTAAATTTAACTTGAAATGCACAGTGCTGCTGTATAAATTGATGCCACAGGGAGGAAACAGAAAACGATGACAGAATTTTAATAGAGAATTTTTAAGTCTGAGATCAGTAATGAGTATGTTTTATATAAGCAGAAGCCTCTCTCATAGGGCTTTTCTGGGAGAAGTACAGTTTGAGAGTTGACCCCCACTGGTGAAACGTGTTACTGCAATAGAATTCCTAATAAAAGGGGCAAAAATGCCCAGATCAAAGCAGAAGAGGACAAAGTCTAGAGGTGAGTAACTTTGGTAACAGGAGAGACATTCCCGTGGTCATGAAGGTGAGGGATATGACCAGTGGTCATAGCCACCTAATTTTCAAATGATCGGTGATTAAGTGAACTGTCACAGGGCTGGCTACTGTCTTTTCTCTTCAAGGTTTTTAACTGAACCTGTTTGGGACCTCTCTTTTGGTAACATGTCTCTAATTTTATAATGGAAGTTAGTAGGAAGGTAGGATCAGACTTTGTTTTAGAGGCTAGAATGCTTCTCTTTGAAAATGTGAGGAATGTTTGATAAATGGTTTCACAATAGTTTCATTCAATTCAGTGTTGAATTGGCAGAATGATCAGTAATGCCTCCATGTTATAGTCCCTCGACATAATAATGATAGCATGTAAAATGAGTGTCTATGGGTAGCCTATCAAGAACTCTGGGTGGTGTCTAAAAACAGCAAAACCATCCCCAGAGACCATAAAGACAAATTAGAACACTGGCCCCACCCACCCTTCTAAGAATTGCTTATCACCCCATCATAATCCACTTCTCATCTTGAATGAGATGAGAGTTGAATGATTTTGGGGGGAAAATTCATTAACTGATAAATTGAAATATCTACCTGCAGGGCTAAAATGGATGTTCCATGAGGGATATTGCTCCCCCAGGATGACCTCTGAAGTGACCTGTCTTGTGTTTGAACACAAAAACTTATTACTGTTGCTCTGTGTTCTTCAATTGACAGCATTCTCTTAATTCCATATGACAGAGTGATGGCGGACATGGTCTTCAGAAGGAAAGAAAAGCTCATGCAGCATGTTGGAGTCCTTTAAAATAATATATAGGACAGAACTTGTGTAGTTATCCTATTTGGAAGCCATGTTTGTTTTTCAATATCTGAAAGGATATAAAACTAAAGACATTACAACAGCTGGAGTGTGACTTGAGGGGTGCTTCTAGGTGTGGTACCTCACAGCTGCTCATTTTCAAGATGATATAAATGAGCAAGCTTTTTGCTTGTCAAAAAACTTGTGTTGGACTGGAACCATCTACATCCCCTGGAGGGGACCTGTGGGGTAGGGTCATAGGCATAGTCCAACCAGTG